GAAAATCATTAATTGTACTGCAGTACAATTAATGAAATAATTGTACTCCTCTCAACCAATCAGCATCCAGTAATTTTGTCATGCTAATAATAAAGGCTTTTAGTCACATTTTTAATTAAGGGACGTATACTAGGTTTTGCATTAAATTAAGCTGAATAGGTGTGGTAACTGAATTCGTTGTACAAAAACTAAAAAGAAGCTGAAAACGCTAAACGAGCTACAGACTAAGACAGTATTAAGGTTTTAAACGAAGATCTTCAAGAGAAAAAGATAAACGATCCTCAAACAATATCGTACCCAGAGCCATCGTTGACGATGGCTCTGGGTACGAAATTGATCCTCAAACGGAAATAGCTCACTGGAATTATAGGAGGGGGGACTGGTTCCAGATTTGTTGCATGCAGATAAATGTCAACAGTATGCCTGGGAGTGGGAATTTAAGTTCCCGGACGTTACCTTTCGCATAACTCGGCTTGAACAAACTTCACTTTCTTGAAGTTGAAAAAATATACATTTTGGTGTCGAATGAGAATATGTTCATTGTTGAATAAGTATATTACATACATACATGAATGTTATATGACTTATATTACATTTGTATTTAATAACTTCGTTGCTTCCTAGTATAATTCCTAATCACAGGTTATAGAAAGTAACTAGTGAGTAGTGGTCAAACAGGGCAAGCCCCAATTGAATATGACTACTGGTATATACGTTTCAAGGTTGAAATTGCATGCAAAATTTATAAAGTTGAATGCATATACATTGTTGAATTTTGCAATAAAATGCCAACCATAGGCTAATATGCTAATCAGACATAACGCTGCCCGGAAAAAATGTATCGTTGTATATATTTTGAAATTTATACAGCCTGACCATTGACATAATTAATATCGACATCTATGTAATTGTTACATAACATTCAAATTTTCTAACTAACATTTTCTTGTCCAGTGGCAGTGCCTTTTTATTACCAAAAGTGCAAAACATTAAGCATTATATGCCGATACTGTTGAAACTTCATATACATGATGAAGACGAAGATAAGATAAGATAAGATATATAATTGTTAAGTTTTACACATATGATGATATTTTAGTATTGTCATTATAGCAACACAATTAAATTAAAGGGCTCAGAACGTGTATGTATTTCTATTGGTTAACATTAATATAATAGCTATATATATATATATATATAGCTTAATCCAAAACCTCGTCCTATACACTGCACTTACCGAAACTCAGTTTTGGCTTAGCAACAACGAATGCACAGAGCCGAACAATGTTTGCTTTGACATACTCTTCCCCGTGGCTCCCTTGTAATTTTGATGGCTCGGCCATTGGCTCCTCATTCGACTTATTAACACAAATAATATTATTAACATTATTAACTTCGTCAGCGGACACCGTGGACGATGTTACAGGTTGAATGGACATGTTCGTAGTACCTTCTCTCACAGACATTATCAAGTATTTATGATATCAGACTGCTAAATTTAGCTTCCCATATTGCAAATTATCGGCGTTGTTTCGACTTGTTAATTAAGAGCGACATTAGCATATTTCATTAGTATTTAATATATTCATTGAAATTAATGCTGATTCAGAGGCATGGTCAGAAGTTTCAGTCCAATTTTATGTTGACAGTAGTGTTGTAAAGTCGTCTTCATTGGTTGTCTTGGTCCTGCTACCGCATCGAAAGTTATCGTTTAATAGTATTTATAGATTGAAATCCAACGAGTACCCTGGATTCCAGAGCCTTGGACAGTAAATAATAAATTGAAATGTCGCGAAGGCTCTGTACAGATTCTGTACTAAAACCACTAATTCTGTTTTGTGATTGGCGCGGTTCAATCAAAGAATCTACCCGTTGAACCAGAGCCTTCGCGACATTTCAATTTATTATTTACTGTCGAAGGCTATGGAATCCAGGGTATCCAACGAGCAGCCTTGTGAAAAAATATAGGAGTCGTGTGCATGACGATGCTGAAAGGCATAGGAATTTGACAACTTCCAAGAGAGATCTGGAACAATTCTTGGTGCTAAAGGAACAAGCTCATAGCCATAGGCTTGGCGTGTTGCAACAACCTGATTTTCAACGACAAAACCAGCAAGTTAATATGTTTAATCTAGACTTGGGGCCGAATCGTGTCGGCAATTACTGGTTCAGGACGGAGTGGAAATGAAGATGGACCTGCAGACTGCGCGTTATTCACTCAACTACAACTATTATACTATAGGAATTTGCTCAGAAAGTAAACGTAATAATTAACACATGATAATCTGTCAATCACCCTACATAGTATGCCATATTTCCCGTATCAAATTGGAACCAAGCTCTTCTGCTCTTGTACCTATACCAAAATTACATCGAAATCCCACCGACGAAACTTCTGTTGTCATACATGTAAACCCTTTTCCCCGCCTTTCATACCAATGCCCAATGGCAATGATAGAAATTTGTGCCGTATAACAGCAGTATACTAGAGATTTCCCTCCTCAACCAGGGAGATCAGTCAAGTAATTACGTAATATTGTGGCGGTACAATCTTGATACGGATACCTGCTGTTGCAATATTCCTGTTAATTTGAATATCGCAATGAGTGTTTCGTAAAGTTATATTAGACATAGTCAGTATGACATAGAGCTGTATTTCTGCAAATATTTTATCTCCTGTATATCGTTCATAGTATATTGAAGTGGGATAATGTTTAATTAAACATCAACCGATAGAAATGTTCACTGAATGTCACAGCCTGGCTTTAATCTTTATAGCCTATGTTGCCTGTTGGGCACTTCATCGTCTTCATTATGTATATATAAAGTTTCAAATGCATGCACTATCGGCATAGTATAATGCTAATCTTTTGGTAATAAATTTCCCTTTCAAGGAACTAAAAAGTAAAAGGCATTGGAAAAATAGTGCATATTTTACAAAATTCCAATATTGGCAATAATTATGTCATGTTGAAAATGTCATGATATAACTTCCAAATTTTAAACGATTTAATTTTTCCGGAATACAAAGAATTTTTTCAATATTTTTTCGTATACTTGACGTCTGATAAGCTATGCTTGTATATAATATATCATGTGGCTATAGGCATCTCACCATAAAGCATCCACATACAGTCGTATAATTGTCATTCTCATAGGCATAGCAGGAAACAAGTTTAATTTTAAAGTGGTAAGTTCTTTGACATGACATTTACCATATATAATAACTATACAGACTATACAGTTTAATCCAAAACCTCGTCCTATACATGCATACACTGCACTTACCGAAACTCAGTTTTGGCTTAGCAACAACGAATGCACAGAATCCAACAACTTTTGCTTGGACATGTTCTTCCCCGTGGCTTTCTTGCAGTTTTGATGGCTCAGTCATTGGCTCCTCGTTCGACTTATTAATACAGATAGTATTATTAACTTCGTCAGCAGACAACGTGGACGATGTTACAGGTTGAATGGACATGTTCGTAGTACTTCCCTCTCTCGCAGACATTATCAAGTATTTATGATATCAGGCTGATAATTGTAGCTTCGCATATCGCAAATTTATCATATTTCATATTCGCAAATTTAGCATATTTCATTACATGTGGCTTAATTAATTTATTCATTGAAGTTAATACCGAGTCAAAAGCGCTTGCCGCTTGGTCCGGACGAAGTTTCAGTCTGATTTCATGTTGACAGTACATGCAGTGTTGTGTTTTAGATATATGTTAGTCTATAAATAATAAATTCGCGGTTTCTAATCAGCGTCCGCATTATAAAATCTACATTTCGTAATTTTTACTTCAGAACAAGTTAAAGGCCGATTTACACTGGCACTACACATGCAACTTTTGCCTGTCGCATGCAACCTGCTTAAAACTTTGCTTAGAACTACACATTAAATTGGATATCAGTACAACATGCACATATAAAAGTCGTACAAACAAATAATTTATATATTAGTATCTATAAAGTATTGATAGGCTCTTATTTTAAAGGAGCCTAATGTCATAATGACGTTGATTGTCTGGTCGCACGTGGTAAACTGTTATATAATGTTGCACCACTGAATTTCAACGTTTTCTGCCTAATTGTTAGCTTCGTTCGCGGTATCCACAGTTCGTTGTTCTCTGAGCTTCTTGTCAATCGTTTTGTCACTGATGACTTTAAGACAAACATGTCACTTATGTACTTGGGTACCCAGTTGTTTAATGATTTACATACCATTATTGCTGTTCGTAGCATCACTCTTTCAGCTGTATAGGCAGGACTCCAGCAGCTTTAAATAGTGGCCCAGAAGAAGTTAGCTTCGGTTTGTTGTATATAATTCTCAGAGCTAACTTTCGGAGTTTATGTATGCGAATAATATGACTTGATTGTCCCCCAAACTGTACAGCAATAATCTACATGAGGTTGTAAGAAACACTTGTAGTAAATTACTCGGTGACCAATAGGCAGATATTCTTTGATCTGTCTGAGAAGATGAATTCCCTTAATTAGAGACTTTTCTACTTTGTCATTCTGCTGTTTCCAGGAAAGATGTTCATTCATAACAACCCCAAGTATTTTCTCAGTGTTGGTATTCTAACTGGACACCGTTAAATTCCACTCGTAGATTTGAATTTAATGTAGCTGCGCGTTGAGATGCTGTTATCATCATTGCCTTCGTTTCACCATCATTTATTACCATGTTGTTGTTAGTACACCAAGCTTGAACGTTTGTCATATCCTCAGTTAATTTATTATTGAGTTCCTCAACTGTTCTAGCACTTGTATGGATTGTCGAATCATCAGCATACATGTCTGTGTTGGAATTGACATATAGTGGAAGATCGTTGATAAACATTATAAACATGCAATAAAGGTCCCAGAATACTTCCTTGGGGGACACCATACAGAGAAGATTTCTTAGATGACAAATTTCCTTTAAAGTGCACACACATTGGTCTCTTTCTTGCAGGTATGACTTAAACCAGGTTAATGTCAAATCATCACATCTGTAAACTGCAAGTTTTCGTAATAACAAATCTGTATCTACCATGTCGAAAGCTTTGCGTAGATCAATAAATACTGCCCCATTTATGAGGCCGCTCTCCATGTTGGATGTCCACATATCCACAAATTTGCATAGCGCTGTTTCACACGAGTGATTTCTTCGAAAACCAGATTGGACATGATGTAATAAGTTATGTCTCACGAGAAACTGCATGGTTAAAATGATTGCATTTGACACGGTAAACCACGTGAAAAAAGCATTTGACACGGTAAACCACGACATTTTACCGGCTAAACTAGAGTTATATGGTATTAACAATACGCCTCTTATGCTTTTCAAATCTTACTTATCAGAACGATCTCAGCAATGTCAAGTAAATGGGGAACTTTCCACGTTAAAATATCTAAAATATGGAGTTCCTCAGGGTTCAATTTTAGGTCCACTTCTGTTTTTAATTTATATCAATGATTTACCGAACTGCCTACAACACTCTACTGCACGTATGTTCGCCGACGATACTGACATCACAGTGTCTAGTAAATCAATTAAGGAAGCGGAGGTGGCCGTTAATGCTGATCTCAATAATATCAGAGAATGGCTTCTATCAAACAGGCTTTCTCTTAAACTTGTCAAAACGGATCTTTTGATTGGATCACGCCACAATATTAACACGTTGGAAGAACAACCGCGTGTTTTTATTGGGGATGAACCAATTAAAGGGGTTCAAGTTACAAAAGCTCTTGGAGTCAAAATTGATCAATTTTTAACTTGGGACAGTCATATTGAACAAATTTCGAAAAAAATATCTTCTGGAATAAGTGCCATGAAAAAGATAAAGGATTTCACTAATTCTGATACTTTGAGGTCGGTCTATTATGGTCTTGTCCAACCCCATTTCGACTACTGTTGTGAATTTGGAATTCCATTAATAGAGGCCAGTCTGAACGACTACAAAAATTTCACAACAGATGTGCTAGAATTTTAATGAACTTTAAAGATGAGCCTGGGCAATCTCAACTGGCCCTTGATCAATTAGGGTGGATTAACTTGGAAGAAAGGCGAAAACATATTATGGCCCGGCTCATGTTTAAGGTTTTCAATAATTTGGCACCATCGAGGTTCTCGTCAATGTTCCAGAATTCTAACCATATCTACAGTTATAATGTACGAGGTTCAAATTCGTCTCGCTTTCTGCCACGACCAAATACTGAGTATGGCAGAAAATGTTTTCGATATAGTGGGGTTAAAATCTGGAATAGCATTCCTGAACAAGTAAGAAACAGCGAATCTTTAAATTCTTTCAATAGAAATATTTCCTCTGTTAGTCTGACGAATTAGCTATTTGACTACTGTACCATTTGTTTTGTAATATGTATTTTGTATTCGTAGTTCTTAATATTACTAGTGATTTTGTATTTTATATATTTTTGTAACATAATTTACCTACGCCCCACTTGGAAAGCAGCTACGGTTGAAGTGGCCAGCGTTGTCAAATAAAGTTTTATCCTAAGTTTTATCCTATTGTGAACATGACGCTCGAGAACGTTACTGACAGCGAAGAGTATGGCCATGGGTCTGTAGTTGTTTGGGCCATACACTGAATAATCTCGTAGGTCATCCAATCAGGTTGTTGTTGTTTTTTCCCTCGTTTTTCTCGCAAAGGTAAATGTTTGTCGATCACGTCAAGGAATAAATTGTACCACGCCTTTAAAGCATTGTCAACATCATCAAATATATCGCAAGTCGGATAATGATCACTAATTCCAATTCTTGGGACTTTAACGCTTCTAATTTTATGTGGGACGGATGTAAATACGTGATCTAGGAGTGTAGATGTATTTTCTGTAACTCTTGTTGATTCTGTAACAATCTGGTGAAGATGTAAGTCACCCATAGATTCCAACCAACACTGAGTGTATTTTTCGAAACATCGATGTTAAAATCTCCCATTATTGTTAGTTGATGTATGGCCTTCCACATAAGCATTTAGTTGCATATCAAAGTTTTCAATCCATTGCGATATGGTGTACTCAGGACATCTATATGCTACACAAATGAGGTGAGCCGGACAATTAGGTGGACAAAGTTTTAACCAGATCGATTCAACATTGATAGATTCAAGATCATTTCTTCTAAAATAAGGAATGTCCTCCTTAATGTAAACAATAATTCCGACTGCATGGTGCTTATCAACTGGTATTGCATGTTTTTGAAGATCTGTCGCTCCTTTCGTGTGTATAACCATTGATTTTAATACGTGTATCATCAATTGACTCGTCTAACCAAGATTCCGTAACACCTATAATGTGTGTTTCGCTGCCTGGGTCCTTTCGAATTAGTTTTATTTAATCTAGCTTAGTGTTATTAATTCTCGGTGCTAAACTTCGCAGATTCCACTGAGTGATTCGACGTCCGCTTGGCAAGTCACTACACAGAGATGGGTGATGGGAGTGTGCGTCGTTGTAGTTGGCGTTGTTCTTTTTCTTCAACTTTGCTTGATCAGTTTGAGGTGTAAGCGCTCCTGGGTTGGGATGAATGTCACCACTTAGGCTTAGCACAATAATTGCAGGATTGAAAGAAGCCGTGTCATTGCGAGTGTAGATAATCCTTCGTTTAAGAAATTTGTTATGACTTTATTGTTGAACATAACAAACACAATAGCTGTTCCGTATAAGAGTTGTTGCCAACGATAAACTAGGGCCATACATGTCTGACCATTTTGAAAGTTCAAAATTAGATCTCTTATTACATAATTCAGAAAAGTTCAATCCACAAATCAGGACGATAAAAACAATATGACAGGAAATCTTGATTTTATCCATTTCAAACAAGTCTTCAAAATCCGTAGTTATGACAACGTAGCCGTAGGTGAGTTGCGTGCTTGACTTACACAGTACAACTCAAGTTGTAATATATTGCAGTCTTCCAAGAAATCGCCATATCAGCGGAATGACGAAATAAACAAAAATTTCCGAACACAATTAGAACAACTATTTTACTGTAAAAAAATATATATCTTAAAACCAGCAGGAACATAACTCAAAAGCGCAAAGGTACCGCGACTTAAGATTTTCCTGAGTAATTCTTACATTATTTTACTGCTTGTCAATTTTACAACTTTATCATATTTTGCATGCACTGGCTAATATTTGGTGAAAATTTGATGAAAATCGAACTGATTTTGAGCGCGCAGTAGCGATTTTCCACAAAACGCCAAAAAGGGTGTCCTGTAACCTTAAAGGAGCTTAATGACGTTGATTGTCTGGTCGCACGTGCATGGTAAACTGTTATAATGTTGCACCACTGAATTTCAACGTTTTCTGCCTAATTGTTAGCTTCGTTCGCGGTATCCACAGTTCATTGTTCTCTGAGCTTCTTGTACAGTATGGATGTAATATAATAGGCTAAGAATCTCACCCTTCGTTATAGTTATTTACTTCAAACCGGCTGTGAAAGATTAACGTTACTATGCTTTTCCTGATTTTGAGACTTTATATATGTCACTAAAACAAGAGACCAAACTCCGAGAACTTTGGTTGGCATTGACTTTGCAGGACTAATCAAGCACGGAATCGGCTGAGCGAACACTAATTAGAATGCACGAGGGAAGGCATATATCTAATTATTTCAATGCGAGGGGTGTATTTGGAATTGTTGTGTTCTACTTACACCCCTGACCAATTCCTTTATGTTCCTTCAATCAATCAGCCGTTGGAAATGGAACTTCGCCATATTCAAGAGACCACGTTACGAAGGCGATATCCTTTTATAGTTAAGGATCCCTTGTGGCCAAGATGGAGTAAAGATTCCAGGTTTGCGAAAGAGATATATCAATTAACTGCCATAGCAAGATACTGTGATCATACGAGATGAAACAAATCGGACTTTATGTGGAAATTCTGGAAGTAGTAAGTCTGATATTTGTCGAGATGGCAATATTCGTGGCGCGAAGGTGAATGACTCCCGACAGATAAATCGCGAAGCTAAAGAGTTTCGTTCATATATGGTCTAAAGCCATCGAGGAAAGCGGCAAGAGGGGCCGAAGGCGAAGAGAAAATTGAAGCTATGAGCGATTTACATTAAACTATATCGTCTTAAAACCGTATATTTGTTTGTGAGCGATTTACTAGTGAGCATTCTTTGAGGCAGAATATTGATCAAACACCAATCACGATACTGGTCACTGCTTGCAATAAGAATGTATAATACTAGCCCTTGCATAAGCCAGGTATTATATGGCTTAAAGTATATAACTATAGGGATCCAAGGATAGTGTGAAGTTTCAAATTGGGAAAGACACTGCAAGAACTATATAGGGTCGCCAACAACCTAGAAAAGCGGATGACTTACACTACGAAATAAACAGTTACCAAAGACATTTCATCTCATTATCTATTGTTTTTAATGCGTTCGGCACATGAGTATAGCGCGACGTTTGAAACAAGCCTAACACATCAAAAACGTCGTGCCTCGTGGAACTGATACAATTTATTTATTTATTGTGATGCTACACGCGACAAGTCGAAATTTAAATTGTTTCACCAACAACCAAATTTTGCATATTCTAAAACTACAGAGTGCTTTGGGAGCTGTTGCTACAAGCATCCCCACGAGGCCACTTATATGCTAAACTTATTTAAAACTATGATTATTCCCATGATCCTTTTAAAAATATGTTATGAAAACTAAGAACTACAACGTTGCATCATTAAAAGGACGTATTTTATCCCCATCCGTTCCATATTTTATCCCCATATCCGTTCCGTGAATCCGCTCCATTCGCTTCCGCATTTTAACCTAAATGTGACATGTTTCACAATAACAAGTCTCATTGACCTTCGACTTATATTTCCAGTGTCACGTTGTGTCATTTTCAGCTTTTCGCATGTATTCAATAATGTCACTTTAGATTTCAAAAGTTTCCCAGTTATAGCAGTGTTTATAGCAGTTTTGACAAACTTTGATACAGCTCTGTGTGCAGATTGATTCTTGTATGATCTGGTAGAGTTCTCGTTGCACCGAACACGAGTTTGCACCGTTGTGCAAGACAGTAAACAAGGTCCGTGACGACACGTTCTCGTTGGCTACCTCCTTGCTACCTA